CCTTGACTTCCTCTCCTTCAATCCTTTGCCCATCCTTTTCGGCCATCACGTTATCAATGTCAGTATTCTTAGACGAGGACGCCCTTGCGGACTTAGTCGCCGCTACCCGTATGGGTGTCACGGGCGCCTCATCATCAGAAGGCAAAATCAATCTTATACTCTGGCTCCTTGCGATCTCCTTACCCTTGCTTGGTCGTACCCGCCTTGCTTCAACGTTCTCCTTCATCGAAGGGAACATCGACACATCGCCAAGGTTATCTGCCCACTAGATGTACTTGCAATCATCAAGCACGACCAGTCCTTCATCTATTGCCCGTCTGAGGTCCCTCTTCACGTGATCATCAACCCTGCAATAGATGCAAGAATTCTTGGGAGTAGGGGGTCTCTCGTCTGACCCTCTAATAGCCGGTCCTCTTGCCGGCTTAGCATCTTGGGTGGACGACCCCGGGGATCTGGGATAGCTAGGAGATTTTGGGTACCCAGGTGACGCAGGGTATCCTCCTCGATCATACTGGCCGCGCGGTTCTTCCCGGCGGCCTCCTCCTCACTCTGTCCGCTCATAACCGCCATGATATCCATCACGGCGGTCCCTATCTGATTCCCATCGCCCGCAGGAGTCCTCTTTGTCCCTCGAATTGAAATTGCCTGGGCTCCGGTATCCTTCCGCGTTCCCTCCGTATCTGGGACTGCGCGGATATTGTTCCAGTCTTCCTCCTCGACTAAAAGAGTCTACTCCCCGATACTCGTCTCGTCGGCGGTCTCTATCTATGTCGTCATCTCTACGTCGGCAGGCATCATCGTCCCTCTCCTTCGCACGATAGTCCGCCAGCGTGCGAGGGTTCCTATCCTCGACGCTCCTCCATGGGTCGGTGTTCCTGCGGTCCCATCGCAACGAATAGGGGGACCCAGGCTTGTCCCAATAAGTAGTGGCTCCCGTCTTTGTCTCGATATTGGCCATCTACTTGGCCATTCCTTCATCATTTCTCTCATCTCTCTCACCTCGTCTATCACTGTCTCTTTGTCCCTGGGACGTTGTGGTTTGTCTTTGTCCATCAGATATCGCTGCTCTGCCCATGGCTGATCGTTAAAATCTGGACACCTATCAGTCTCGTACTCCCGATAGAGAGAAAAGTCCCAACGTTTCATTCCTCTCCAGAGTAAATCCTTGTAGTCATCGGCCTCAGCCTTCATGGCCAACTTGAGTAGCGCGGCAAATTCTAACTTATCGTGGCGCATTTCTCTCAATACCCCCTTTTGCTTCCCTCTGGTTAGTCGACCGAGGAAGATCGTGCATCTCTCGACCTCCGACAACTTCCCTCTCGCCATAAGGGCATCAAATACCTTCTGGAATCGCTTCCCGAATGCCCGAACACTCTCGTCCTCACCCTGAGTCAACTGCTCCAAATCTCGGATTGAATACTTAACGTCTTCTAGTCTGTAGAGCTCGTATAGATTAGCCTTATACGTCGCCCATCGTCTATCCTTGGGTCGGGCTTCTTTGATCTCCTGACTCAAGCTCGGAACCACGTAAAACAGGAAATTATCTATAATCTCGTCCTCTGACCGCTGACTTCGGTAAGCATGCAGCTCCCACTTCTCGAGATACTCGGTAATACAGTATCCCTTGAAAATGGGGGGCCTGGTGTCTAACTCCGAAGGTTGGTGCGAGATGATGAACCTGTCTCTCGTCTTGTATGGTAGGGAGTGCAACTCACCCGTCTGAGGGTCGTAAATTCGTTTGGGCGGTGCAGCCCTCTCCCTATCTCTCCAAAGCTGCTCCCTGATGTACTGGTGCCTCCAATCTTCTCTTCCTCTCTGTCGTCTCTTCGTTCGTACGTAGGTGAACGTCGAATAGTCGACTCTTGCCGAAAACTCGCCAGTTCGGTTCGACTCTCCATCCGCATCACCGTAGCGGCCCTGTTTGGCTCTGCCGCGACCGGACAGCCCATTACCTCCGGTTCCCCATCGTCGGGTTGGTCTACACATCTCAAAGGAGCGTTCTGTCGGATACCCTCTTTGAGGTCCCGCAGAACACGTTCCGGTGACGCCCGGTACACAGCGGTCTGTTGTTCCTCGTCCGGTTGCGGGCCCATTGTGTCCGATTCCATATATTTTATCCCTCTCCCGGTTTGTGTCTGTGTCGGGAATCTGCCGTCCTTATCCCAGGAACTAGTAGCCCGATCCTAATGCTCGAACCGGCAGCCCGGACCTAATGTCAGAACCGGCAGCCCGGAGCTAATGTTAGAACCGGTAACCCGGACCTAATGCCAGAACCGGCCCCGCTGATCTCTAGTGCCTAAATCTAGCTCTCAACGGCTCTCAATATCACTATCACTCTTCCGCTCTTGTCTCGGATCTCGTAGGTCCCCTCGATACCTAGTATCCCAGTGTCAAAGAAAAGTCGTCCTTCCTGTCCCTCTATACAGGCAGCACCTCTCCTAACCTCTAACACTCCCGTCTCAGAACACCTAACTCCCCTACAAATTGCGCTCCCTATAGCGCGTAACTCCTCATGAGTACATGCTCGCAATCGCTCTCGTAAATCGATAGAGGCTCTCCTTTCCAGATCGCTCAATCCTTGCTGCACTACATTGGCTCCCGCCAATGGGAACTCACCGCCTCTTGCCATCAAACGTTTGATGCCTTAGGGCGAGTTCAATCACCGTGCCGAAGTTTCTCTCTTGCGCAATTTGACCTGGAGCCGGAGGTTTAGGAAGCCTTTCAAAGGTCGTTATCTGTGTGCTCCAGTTAACGTTTCTTCCACTATCCACTATCCACAAGCTAGGAGATTTTGGGTACCCAGGTGACGCAGGGTATCCTCCTCCGACTATCCACTATTCAAAGGCGTATCTCCTCCCATCCACTATCCACAAGCTCGTATCGCACTACCTCGTACGGAACCACTTCTCTCCTTCCTAGAGAGCTCAGTCGTTCACAGGTTGCCAATAAACTCTCCTCCGACGGTCGGTTGCCCGCAAGAAACCTCTCTCTCCTCGCTTCTAGTTCTTGATCAGAAGCGGTTATCACTTCTCTCATCCTGCATCCTATTCTGTTTTCGTCAATTTCCTAGAATGCTCTCCTTTTCTGACTGTCCTTGCAAAATGTATCACCGCCTCCCATCCATAGCGCTCTAAGCCCCTCTCTGGAATTGGGGGCCTAGGTATGCCATCGAAGATTACAATATCGTCACACGCCTGGACAGTTTCCCCCAAGCTCTCCAGCCTCTTCTTCTCTTCCCTCAATGTCCAAGCAGCTCTCCTCCAAGTCCTCCCGTATATGCAAAACTCCTCTCTCTCTGTGGGCAGGTATATGCCTACGTGGTGCACTCCTAAATCACGGAAACTCACGGTCATGATATAGTATTGATTCAACTCGCGTCCGCTGTTCGCCACTTGATACCTAATCACTTCGTACAGAAAGACTTCTCGCCGGCCAATCACGCTCAATTCGCGTAGTACTTTCTCATGCTCAGGCTCATAAGGCCCACCCCAAACTCCGAACTTCCATCTTCTCCTTGCTAGCTCCTCCGCAGGTAGTGGCATCTCTCTTCCGTCTCCATAAACCATCTAGCATTCTATCGCGATTAACGCTAAGGCCAACAGGATTCTGTCCGTAGATTCCTCCAAAAATTCGTAGAACATCTCGAAGTCGTCTATATCTCCAAAGTCCTCAATATCTGCTAAGGTCTTAAGGTATTCGTTCCAGTACTGGTTGTGGGCCCTGAACATTCTAAGAACATAACTTTCTTCTATGATCTTTGCCAAATCTCCAGCTGCTTCTGCCTCACGTTCCAGAAGTCTCTCAGCCTCTCAGGGGGTTTCACGCCACGCTCTACTCAAGGGTATCTCTTCAAAAGGAGACATGCGCAGAGAGTAGTTGATCAAGCATGCGCTCTCCTCACCTACCCCGAGTCCTGTCACCCGCGCTTTTTGCGCAGCCCGTCGAGTACTCTCCGCTTCTTCGATTACACTGAGCCTTTCTAGGTAGACCAACTGTATCACCACACAAGCGATCGGTCCGTCAGACCTCCCTGATATTTGCATAGAATACTTTTCAAAGCTCATCGTCCCCTATCATTGCTCCGACGTCCCTTCTTCATTCGGCGTTCTAACTTCTGACAACCCTTCTATCGTCTCAGTTGACTCGGGTGACTCCTCGAGTCTCTTACTAATATGACCCCTCCTCTTTACACTCTCCAAAAAATCTAGACGCCACCTTCCGAAAAACTCTCTGTCCTCTTTGAAAAACCTCTCTAATGCCTTCGCCACTGCTTCTATCCTACGGAGCTCGGTCTCACTCTTGCTAGACCAACAATCTTGAATCTTAATGCTGAGCTCCTTAACCCGTTTTACCACTGGTTTTATAATTCGTTTTTCAACTCTCTTCTTCCTCCATTCTAGATCATTCATCGTCTGCGACCCATCTTTTTCTAAGTCTCAAAATACCTATCTCATATTACTCCAAGCTTCCGTGGGTGTCTCGTCTCGAACCATCTCTAGGCGCACTTTTTCCTTCATGCAGATGATCACTTCATACACCACCCAATTTTGTATTGTCAACTCTTTCAGTGCTCCTAACCTTTGTTCTCGTATGACGTCTTCAGCGAGTTCTTTGGACTCAGTGTCCGACAGTTCCTCTTCAACGCTCACCCTCAGAAGAATTTGTAGTGCCTCGCCATCACATGCCAAGCGCCTAGAAACAACCCGAGCATACGAAAGTCGTCGCAGAGAAGGCAGACAACTTGTCACACTCCCACGAATAGCTACTCGAGGATTCCTATCACTCACACTCCTCCAAGAGTCGGACCCTCTCCGATCCCACCGGAGCGAGTAAGAAGCTCGGGGTCTATATCGATATAGTGACCGCTCATGCTCTGTCATGACAAGGTAGCTAGACTCATATCCTACTCCTAGCTTCCACTACTGTTTCGTCAAAGAACAATTCCGCGCGCAGGTACCCAGCCGACCATACCATCACCTCGTACGTTATCTTGGTCTGGAAAGTCACACATGCGAGGACCCCTGGCCTATATTCCCGAATAAACTTTCTAGCTTGTAGAAAAGACTCGCGTTCCGTCAGGTCCTCGTCTATGTGAGCCCTGAGTAAGACCGTCACCATGAAACCTTCGCTCACCAATTGCCTGCTTACATTAATTCCCGTGGCCGTCCGACCAGGCATGCCTCCTATCGCTGATCCTCGAACAGGTATCTCAGGTCCTCCAAGCCAATGTACCTGTCCTCTACTCGTCTACGGCAATAGTAGATCAGATCAGTCGGCCTCAGGCAGTCTATCCAACAGGTAGCGTCGATCAGATCTCTCAATGTCTCCTTGTCTGGGGGTCCCCACCTCACGCGGATCGCGTAGCACACCTCTCTAAATCGAGGAGCTCGCCCTAACCAGAGCGCATATAGCGTGTGGTTAACTGCTCTAGTCAGGCAGCCTACGTTCCCGTAAGTTTGCTCTACGACAAACGTAGGGAGAACCAACCTCCAGCTCTCTATCGGATAGTAGACCGAGCGAGGAGGCCCAATTACAACTCGAACGGCGTAGGGTCTGTCTCCCGCAGAAATCGTCAGTCGCCGTCTCACTATCGACTCCGCTAAGGCTTCGTACCTCCACCAACCTCTGCTAACACCGGCAAGCGTCAACCCTATCTGTATATCCCGTGTTTTGTCAAACACAAGATGCCCTATTCCCTCCAGCCGTCGGGGAATATCGAATCCTCTATCCTCTGTAATCACCGTCCACAAAAAAATCCCTTCAGCCAACCAAGTGTCGGAGTGTTGAACCGGCACACTAGCTATCTCCTCTAAGCGTACCGGAAGTGGCACATCGTAACCCACCGCCGTCTCTCTCGGCCCTATCAGCTTCTTCACCCTATAGGATTCTGATCCACGTGTTAAAACATATGCCAACCACACATCTGCATCACTCCTCATCATGTCATCCACCTCTATCTCTCTCCTTCCAGCTTGCGCATACTCATTGGCCTGCTCCAATCCCTCTCGACATCTGCCATATCCACATCTCCATCCTCATCTATCCCCTGTCCCCAAGGGATAGCCTCCTGTCCCTCGGCCTGAGGAAGGTGTCCCCAACCGTCCTCCAGCTGCACCTATAATGCTCCTCAATCTCCCAGCTCGAGATGAGGTGGCTCGGTCTCTCCTCGTGAGTCTCAGCCAATAGTTGCCCAACTCCAGCTAGGTGGTCCGCAAGTCTCTGTGCCTCTCTCTCTAGCGCAGACCAAGAATCTAGAGGCTGGTGCAGAGAGTGTAGCTCTGGACTCACAGATGGCAATGCGGCCCGTAAGAACTCAATCAACTGGAGTCCTCTCTCGCCGACAAGTGGTCCTCCCACGAACTGCGTGTAAAGGACCCAATCCCTGTCGGCATATCCCCTGCAGAGACCGTCAAAATCGAGAGCTGCAAAGTAGATCTCACCAAACGTCTAAGGCCCCAAAGCTCCTCCTCCACAAACATTGGGAGCGTCACGCGCAACCTACTGCTAGGATACGGGAAAAGTCCTCCGATCCGGAAGGTCGTCGTCACACTCCGAACCTCCCCGTGCAGCCGCTCTATCTCGCCGCGTACGGACTCCCCTCGAGCTGAGAGGATCCTCCTCGTCGTTTGCTCCTCACGCCAGTGATCGTGTACAAGCCCCTGAATGTAGACTGTGGCCTGCACCTCTGGCGAGTAGTAGATGTGTCCTACCACCTCTATACTCATCGTCCCGGGCCGCCACCACCTCTGTTCGTCCAACTCAAAGTCTCGACGACGTACGACCACAGGTGCACGTCCGGACCCAGCAGCGTCGACGACCACCTACCCTCTAATCCGGCCACAGTCACTCTCCTGGCCGGCAGGTCTAGCGCCACTCTGCGTGGCGCTACTGTCTCGGGCGGTCTAGGACATCTAGCACTGTCGATCTGGAGCTCGACCATGTCCGCCTGCTCTATCATCGGATCTCCTCTCCGACCTAATATCAGGACTCTCTCAATCACCACCTCTCACCCATACTATCCTCGGCCTCGCGCTACGTGCCGCCTCCTAGACCCGGACGACAACTCCTATCCTGGGAAAGTGCGCGTCAGTGTCGTCGATCTCCTCCTCACTCTCGGAGTCAACCCAGTCAGGCTCCCGGGCCTCCTCGTCGTCCTCTCTAATCCACTCCTCGTCGTCCTGCTCGTCCTCTAGGCGATATGGACGAAGTCGATTCGCCTGGTAGTAACACACTAGCTGGTAATCGCGGATCAGGGGTCGTCCGGGGTCCTCGCTCCACAAGCTCCCCCAGTCCTCCGAGAAGAGTCTGCCTATGTACGTAAAGTACTCAGGCCCAGCCCGAAGCTCCTGATCCAATATGTCCCACACGTACTAGGGCGGGGGTACTCCCCTCTGACAATCGTCCCCTAAGGAGCGGATCAGCTCTATCAGCTGAACCCTCTCGTCTCCCCAGCGAAGCCCCGCGGTCGCAAGGGAGTAATATATGTAGCAAGCGTCGAGGCTCCCTCTGACAAAGAGCTCAAGCTCTCTTTACACGAGGTAAGTCTCAACTATGCCTACTACTCCTCCGAAGACTGTGCCTAACACAAAAGAAGGGAGGATCGCCCTCAGACTGGTCTCAGAATAAGGGAAGAAGGTGTCTCGTGCTATTAGGAGATCGCCCGTGATAGCGAGGGGAGGTCGCCCGTGGAGCAAGGACAATGGGTCTTGCTCATCATCCGCGCGAAAAGCGTCAACCTCCTGCTGCAGATAATGTAGGGCTCTATCGATAATCAAGCTGGTCCCCCAGACCACAAGACTCAAGGAAGCCTCTTTGGCCGCCTCCTCCCCTAAATACAGTTAAGCCCTCACTAATCCGCCTGTCAGACCTCCGCTCTCTCCCCTCAGGTGCTCCCTGTGTGTCCACAACCAAGTATCAGATGATAGGAAAACAGACCTCCACCGGAATTGCCCGTCGTGCCAATCAGTGGGCCGCCCGGGGAGCGTGAACTCTACCAGGCCTCCCTCTATGAGCTCTGGGGGCTCTATCTCCCACGCACGATCGACCTCGTATACCTCTATGACCTCGGATTGCAACATCCGACTAGCTACCGTACATGGGAAACCCCTGTAGCATCTGGGAGGGAGAGTACGGAGGCTGGGTGACTTTGTAACCCTAAGAAAATTTCGGCATCGCTTCGCCTCCCTGCGTAGGGATGGGGTTCGGGAGGCGATCCCTGAATGAATGCTGCCTACCTATGCCCTAGAAAGGCCGTGATGTAGCCTAGATGACTATAGCGCAGAATCCCGGGCTCGAATTGGGCTAACGAGCCTTCTATTCGAGTTCCCTCGAATAGTAGGCGCGTGCACAATTCGAGGGAGCTCTGTCTACTGCGCTCCCGCGCGCCCCCTCGCCTCACAAGAGTTGCAAACAGCTAAAGTGCCTATTAAGGGCGCAAATGATAGCGGGGAGGCCTCGCTACCGGCCCGCCACTGCGGCCGCTGCCCTGCCGCTCCGCTTTGCGTTAGCTCTCGGTTCTTGGTTCGCTCCCGGTTCACGCCGGATAGTGCATCGCTGGTCCGTCAGTTAACCTAGTGGGACGAAGGGCGATGGCGGTTCGGCTTGTTCGGTTAGTGTCGTAGAGGCGTGCAAGGACGGAAGTGCGTGCACGTGTGTTTGTAGTCGTCGCCCTGCCTTTGGAAGTGTATTGAGGTTCTTTCGCTCCGAGTGCCCCACCACTGCCCTTGGGTGGTCAGTGGATCGCGCTGCGATCAGGGTCACTTGGCAAAGGCAGCTCCTGTAACCAAACTCATCTCGTTATAGAACCTGGCCAGCACGTTGTACCCGAAAACCAGAGGAGAAATTCCCCCTGGAGCAGGGCTCCGGGGGAGCTCCTCTCTCAATGCGATTTACGTGGATATCAGGAGTGTGGAAGCCTTGTTCGTATCAGCTCTCGAGCCCAGCCGCTGAGAAAAGAAACGAGCGCAGGCGAAGTACCAGCATTTAAACCACTGGACTGTACGAGCAAAAGGTAATCTCTAATCTCTATTTGCTCCTCCTCTTGTGGCCTATCTGTAATTTCCTAAGGGAGCAGAGGTAGAATCCCTAGAAGTGGAGCCCTTTCAGGAGGATTGACTTCCACCCTTTAGGGTACGACCTTAGGGATTACCGACGGAGACTTCGGTTATGAGTTTGCTGTTATCAGGAGAAGTGAGTTACTGTTTGACATTCGGATATTTTGCGGGATGTTTAGCTGTTTTGTTATAGCGAAGGTTCAGCGCCACTTGGGTCTGTTCTCCCGATTGTAGGAAGGAGAGAATTGGGTCATCGGTGGCTCTAGGGTTTGCTCGTAATTAGCAGTAACTGTTGAGGTTGAAGAATTTCCTCACAAAGTCAGCCCATGGTTGTTTCGTCTTGTTTGGATCTAATGGTTCGGGATCGGCGCTGAATTTAGGTTAGGCTTATCCTAGATAGGAGGGGCCAACTTATAGGAAAGATCAGAGCAGTGGTGGCTGACCTAGTGGAACTTAGTATTTGTGCTCCTCTGACCTGGATTTGTCCTTGCCTTGGATTGCTGCGTGCATCTCTTCAACAACAGTGTCAGAGCCTGGCTCTAAGTCCCTCGTTTTATACCCAACTCCTAGACACCCCCTCCCGCCTCTCTGCTGGTGTCGGCATACTAATGTCAGACGCAGATTATGGCGGACTCCAATGCAGATAGACTTCGAACCTTACAAGTAATTGAAGAATGCTACCGCTCAGGGGTTTTGCCGGTGGGCTTAATCCAAGACAGTCCGGATTCGATTGAACGATCGGAAGACTGCGTTCGGGTCAAGGTTGACCAAGCAGTTTACCAAGCACAGAAAGACTGGCTCTCGAAACATGCTGTCACCATCTTTTTTGGAGACGAGCGATTTCCTACCCGCCAAAATTAAAAAGCGGGTAGTGCGCATGTATGAGAACAAGTGGATTGGGATGCCAATGTTGGGTCCGAAACCGAAACGGGGCTTGTTACATAATGAAGGTCGTAATCTGTTAACTTATGTGCCAAGTACGGATGCAGTAGCGGCTTGGATGCTCCAGAAGAAAGTAGACGAGCTTTCTATTGATGGGGTAAAATATTCCCTCCATTTCAGGCCTTGGATGACGGAAGCTGAACTTCAGGAATGGAGAGAAACGATGCGGTACAAGCGTTTCTGGGTTCGTATTCTGCAGATCCCAATTGGAGCTATGCCCTTAGTGCAGGACGCAGTTCAATTGGCCTATGGGCATATCCTCAAAGTCGGCCCAACCTTGGCCAGACCGGAGGAACCCGAATTGTTGAACATCCGTTTTGACCTGGAACCAGCAGCTGAAGAATATTACACACCTTATCTGGCAATCGACCTTCCGGGTGAGGGAGGGAGTATCGAATTGGAAGTAGTAAATCAGTACATTGATTGGTGCCCTGCGTGTCGTTGGTACTATCACACGGAAGGCGACCCTGACTGCCCTGCATTAAAGTGTCGGTCATTCCAAACTCAGAATCAGGACCAGCCAAAGTATGGCAGTAGCCCCCCCCATTCCCCTCCCCCTGTGCCTGCACCTGCAGGCGCTATCCCTCCGGGGAAAAAGGGAGGAGGGGATAGGGGGGGGGGAGCGAGAGGCAATCTCACGCAGACCTCTCCCCCCCCGGCCAAACGATCCCAGGGTGCTCAACCCCTACCACCAAAATCTCCACCTCATCAGCCAGGCCCTGACAATCAGGGGGTGTGGTCCCCGTTGCAGGGCTCGCGCACACAGATGGATCCAGCCAGTCATCGAAGCAATCCATTGGGAGGCTTCTCTTCCCTGCCTCCGCAGTCGTATACCACTTCATATGTCAACTTGGCATATTCGTCGGGAGAGCAGCCCAGAGCAACATGGATAGATAAATTGAAAGCATCCTCGCTGGTGATTAACCAGGAGGAAGCTTTTGCTGTTATGGATACTTCCCTGCCGGGCCAAAGTGCAGACACTCTCCTGATCACAGATGGTTCCGAGCAGACTACGGCCAAACAAGATAAGGTAGTGATGGTTCCGACAGCTACTGGCGTAGACCCCCTGCTGGCTGTTCCTCTGGGATACCTCTCTGAGGCCGGGGAAGAAGGTAGCCTGCAAGATACAGGATCTCACGACACGACAACTGGTACCCCAATCAAGAAATCACGTACTGACTCCGCTGGTACTGCAAGGAACTCCCCCGGCCGTCAAAGGCGGCTCGGGTGTCAGCCTCAGACGGCAAGTCTGAGGCGGATGCGCACAAAAGCTCTGGGAAGGCGAAGCCCAGAGCAGTGCGTTCTCTGTCCACAGCTCAACCCATGTCAACCACTACTCGCTCCCAGAAAGGGGCTACTGAAGATTATTTAGTGCCCCTTATCTGTGTCCCTGCGCCTAAAGGTCCGATGGTTCTTTCCTTCACTCCATCTGACGGTATTCTGGACATGGCTTGTGTCAGGATAGAAGGTCAACGATCAGAGCTGGACATTTTGGGTCATGTCCGAAAGATTCTCAAAGGAGTCTGCTATGCTAGAGTCCTCCCAGATCCTAAAGTCAGTCGCTTTTCCTTTGATTGGGCGTCTGGAAAGCGTACGTGCAAGGCTAGCATATACTTCGCCTTCATGAACATTCAGCTGACCGAAGAAACGGGCGAGAAGCTTAAGGCTTTGAACCCTTGTTGGATTCCGATTGAGCAATTCACCATGCCGGTCAATCACATTCTCAAGAAGATCTATCTGGCAGAGGGCATCTCAGCCCAAATAATAGCAGACTGGTTCAAACATTCAGCATTAAGAGATCACCTCTCCTCTCCCCAGTTTGAGGCTGTGCTTCAGAGCCCATGGGCTTTGACGCAACTACAATCCGGGGAGGAAGAGGACGACAAACGCAGGAAACTGCCAGTGGGCTCTCTCCGCCAAATCCAAGCCAAGGGCGGTAAGGGTGGACAGTCGAATGGTCCTACCGCACCGCCTTCGGCTTGCTAGCTGGAATATCAGAGGCTTGAACGATAAAGACAGAAGACTACGCCTGTCTTCATGGGCTCATTCTCAGGCTGCACATATAGTCTGCCTGCAAGAGGCTAAGCTCAACGCCACTCGGATAGACGAGTACGCCCGCTGGTAGCCTGGGCCTCAGTTTTGGGCCCCGGCGGACGGCACGAAAGGAGGAGTAGCGGTGTTGTTGCATAAGGATTTGGATGTGGAAGTTTTGGACAGTTTTGCAGACACTCAAGGCCGTTTTGTCTGGGTTAAAATAGCGGTGGGCAACGAGGATTGGGGTATTGTGTCTATTTATGCTCCTGGATACGGAACATCTGTTGATTGCGGGAGATTGGAACACGATCATAACACCGGGGTTGGACTCCCCCAGGCTGAACCCAATCCACTCAGACACATTGACTCTGCTAGAATTAATGGAAACCCAGTCCCTCATAGATGTTTTTCGGGTCCTTAACCCGGATCCCAATGGCTACACCTGGTTTGGCCCAGCCCCAGATGATCACACCCCACCACCGGGCCGGAGACTGGACATGTTGCTGGCTCGGGGTGCCCTCTGGGAGCGCTGCCTGTGGTCAGATCTGCAGGTATCAGACCTTTCGGATCACGATCCAGTGTTGATGGGTGTGCTTTCAGGGGACCAAGTGAGAAAATATTATGGGACGTTCAGGCTAAATGTGTCTCACGTGAAGGACGCAGGCATCACTGACTGGGTCAAAGACCAAGTCTTAAAATGGGAAACCGCGAAGGGCCTCTTCGCACAGTACGAAGACTGGGTTGATACCGGTTTTGGTATTCTGCAATCCGCCTTAGACGTCTTCTCACAGATCAAGGCAGGCCAGCGAAAACACAATAAGACTACTTGAAACAAGCCATTAGGGACGCAGAAGCAAAACTGGGTCAAGATCCGTATGGGGACCTCTACTGGGCCAGGGTCTGGAAAGACCTGTTAGTGTGGAAGTTCTAGAGACGCAGCGTCAGAAACAATGGTTAGAATGGCTTAAGGTAAGAGGCTTGAGAGGGCAAGATCGGATGACTAGACTTACCTTTCGATCCTTATTGATGCAGAACACCAAACCACTACTAAGGGAACTACAACACCCTTTCTCACCTGATACGCCATCAGCAGTCACCACCATCTCTATGTGTGACTATGCGGCACAATATTTCTCAGATATCCTGACATCTGTTCGCCCAGGGGACTCCTTCGACTCTGACCTGTCTGTTTCCTCCTCTTTTTGGGAGCGTACACACACTGTCATCCCCACTCAGGGCAAATTAGACCTAGATAGACCGTTCGTCACGGAAGAGCTCCTTCAAGCAGTAAAGGCAATGGCCCCCGGGAAGTGTCCGGGGATAGATGGGCTCCCGGTGGAATTCTACTCAGCCACTTGGGAAGTGATGGGCCCTCATCTAACAGAGATCTATAACACAGCAGCCAGGGAAGGAAGTCTCCCCAAAGGCCTTTCGGTAGGTACTATCGCTTTACTGTACAAGAAGGGCCCGAAGACGGAGATCCGTAACTGGCGCCCCATTTCCTTACTGAATGTAGCCTACAAAATTCTAGCTAAAGCACTGGCTATCAGACTGGCACGCTACCTACCAGACCTCATAGGTCCGGAACAGGGAGCATTTGTGAAAGGAGGATCCATTTCTGAAAATATTTTGGCAACAATCCAGGCGTTGGAAGTAGTAAGTAAGGAGAAAAAAGAAGTAGCTGTGCTTCTTTTAGACATGGAAAAGGCCTACGATAAAGTAGGTTGGGCATTTGTTGCCACGACTCTGTGCCGCATGGGCTTTGGCCCAGTTTTTTGTGGACTGGTGAAAGCAATGTACTCCCGCGCCTCAGCAAAAGTGAACGTGAATGGTCTTTTATCACAAACCTTCGTCTTGTCTCGCTCTCTGCGCCAAGGTTGCCCCTTAGCTCCCTTGCTGTTCGTCTTCAGCTAGAGGTCCTGTTGGACAACATCCGCCACAATGAGCAAATAAAAGGCCTGAAAGTGACCCCCTACTTCCACTGAAAAGGGGGGGCTATCGCAGACGACCTCATGGTCGCCTGCAAGAACACGTCTGGATCCACGATGGAGCTTCGGACAGTTCTGGACGAGTATTGTTCTCTGTCAGAAGCATCAATCAACTGGTCTAAGTCTATTGTATTGCTGCCTGATACTCACGCCTTTAAAGGTCAGTGGGGAATGAAGTCACTTCTGTCAACAGCATCAGAACGGCTTCTAGGAGTGCAAGTTTCAATGAGTAACTGTGCTCAAGCACAAGATAACTTACTAGGATCCAAGGTAAGAGAGAAGATCAGTAGTTGGGAGAAAGGGAAGTTTCTTTCATTGTTAGGTCGGGCCCTGGTGGTCTCAGCAGCGGCCTTCTCCACCCTGTGGTTTGTTCTAGCTGTCCATTTATTAGGTGACAAAGCATACACCTTGATTCGCCGCTGTGCAGCGAAATTCCTGTGGAAATCGGAGGCCTCGGAGGATCAGAGTTTTATGTCCAAAGTGGCTTGGGAGACTATAGCCACCCCCAAACAGATGGGGGGATTGGGAATTCTGGACCCGAAACAACAGAACCTCGCTCTGCTAGCGAAATGGCCGATCCTGGCAATGTTTTCTACCTCTCAGAAAGCCTAGGTCAAATTTGCGGACTACCTACTCGGGACAGACTGGAATTTTGTAGATCATGCAGATGTCTGCTTGGCCTTGTGCCTTCCTTCCTTTTCACAGCGGCGACCAAAGTCGCTGCTTTGGCGTCAGATTTTTGTTGCATGAAACAAGTTGCGCCCTTCATCCATCAGGGAACCAGTTACCCGCTCAGAAATTCTTAATCAACTTCTCTTTGGCAACCCTCGAATCCTTCAACAAGACAGTTTGTCGTTCTCAGCAGCTCTTTCATCAGGTAGCTTTGGCAAAATCTGGTGTACAAAAGGCATCTTCCGTCTCAGAGATCTCTGGAACGAGTCAGGAAACTGTTGGATTTCCGAAGATTCACTTCGGCTGATGCTGCCGAGGATCAGGAATATTAGAGAACACTTCAAAATGCTCAGACAGGCAGTCCCTACTTCCTGGCTTTCATGTTTACAACCGAACAGACACCCGGCCATCGACACCTGGTTCTCTTCTCCTTCGTGCCCCCGGTCCTTCTGGCGGGTGATTGGTTCCCCTACACCAGAAGGTACCAAGGTGCAGGTATGGAAGAACAGCAGGAGCACCAAGACAAAGGACCTTCTCATCTTCGAAAGTGAAGATATAGTCAGACCAAATAACGACCTGCAGGAAGTGAGAGTGTGGATCTTTGTGGGACCAAGGGGCAAGGAGACTTGCACTGGAGGCAATCCAGCCTCAGCCTTCAAAGTAGATCCTTATATGTATGGCTGGACGGATCTCCCCAAACTAGGGGATTTTACCCCTTTGAGCCACTACTCCTCGAAAGTGGGAAGGGCCATACAACTTCGGAAGCTTCAGAAAACACCAATGGAAGTGGCAATTCGAAGATGGAAAGAGCACCCGACGGATGCAATCTCGGAAGAAAAACTTCAGAAACTTTGGAAACAACTTCAAAAGCTTCCCGATCAAAAAGCAGCAAGCTTGATGTGGCTACAGTCAATTCAGGCGGCCCCTTCGTCGGATTGGCTGTCCTCCAGGGGACTAGCAGTTTCCCCGCAATGTAGTAGATGTACTTGGGCTTGGGAAACTACCTCCCATCTTTGGACGAAGTGCCCCTATTCGCGTTTGATTTGGCAATGGTGGAGGAAGCATTGGGCTAATTTGGGTGCCTCCTCTATACCTTGGTCGGACTCTTGGATTCGCTCTGGTTGTTCAGACCCTTGTCCCCCTTTTGATGCTGGGTGGGGTTACATGGCACAAGTCTGCAGAGCGATCATCATGAGGATTTTGTGGCAGAGTCGCAATGAGAAACTCTTCTCAGATGTACCACCTTGCCCCGAGAAGCAGAAGGCACTGATACTGATCCAAATCAGACTCACCATCATTGCAGACTGGCAAATGAAAGGTCCCTTGTGGTTTTCCCGCACTTGGGCGATGGGTGGCCGTTTGGCTTCGGTCCAAGAAGGAAAGTTGGTGCTCTGTCCTTGGCTGCTGCCTAGTAATTAGGACTTGTTGGAGCATTGTCGGTACAATTTTGTTAGGGTAAGTGATGGTTCTTGTTGTAGGATCAGAGTTTTGGTCTGGAGTCGTGTTTTAGGCTCCCAAGAAGCGAAGCCGGGTAACACTCCCGGATATGATTGGTAGTTGTTTAGTGTATGTTTCTCGGTTTTTCTCTTCCTTGCTGGTAGCTTCCTGTCCATTTTCCTTTCTTTGGAAATAGCATATCAACCGATAGGTCAGGGAACACTGCACCCGGTCTCACCTTTTGCAATTATAATTGAAGCATGCTATTTTCCGGGACTATTTTCCGGGTTGAGATGTGGAGGAATTCCCGGCCTCCTTTTGCAATTATAATTGAAGCATGCTATTTTCAAAAAAAAAAAAAAAAAAAAAAAAAAAAAAAAAAGTGCCTATTAAATATCTGACTGGCACTCTTTACCCGATTTTTCTAAATTGTTTCGGACTTTTAAGGAATATTTAAAAATTAAATTAGAAAAAATTCGAAATCAATCCCAAAATTGAGGTACCCTGGTCCCAGTATTTAGGAGCGGGTTAAAAAGCCCGAGAGGGAGTTTGACTCGAACGTCCCTCTTTTTTTTAACTTTTCTAAGGATTTTTATTGATTTATCCGCAAATAATTCACAAAAATTTAATAAAGATCTGAGAAAATACTTTTTCTTCTTCCAACCCCTAAAGGACCCAACTTAGATGCCACCCTCAGTTTCCGGTTGGCTTTTCTCCCTTGATCCGCTTTTTCCAGAATTTTTTAAATTTTATTAAAATTTAATTAGGAAAATTTACAAAAAGCCGAAGTAATTCCTTTTTCCAC